GAGATCTGCCTGCCTCTGCCTCCCAAGTGCTGAGATTAAAGGCGTGTGCCACCACCGCCCGGCTATTGCAAAAACTTTTAAGTTTTTTTTTTTAATAGGAAAATGGGTCCCATTGCATTCTTAGCATTCCCTTTGCAGTTCTGCTGATATTAAGGAGCCATGTCCATGTACTAATGAAACTGAATCTCAGCTATGCTTTTGTATTTTAAATTAAAAGTGACTGCATAAATATGCTTATGATTAGTGAATTTAGAATACTCATACCATAAAAGTAAATGCATGTCATGAGGGTTGCAAAGTTTGCTTGGATGTTGGTAGACTTAATGTATAGATTCTCTTCAATTCAACTAACCCACCTTACATTTGAATTTCTACTGATAATCAATTTCTCTGCCCTTAAATTTCTCTAAATTTGTAACACCCTTTAGCAACTGTCTGGAATACACAGAGATCCTGCAGTATGATGACATTTTAATGAATAGAGTACACATCTAAGGCCATTTGGCTACAACTTTGGGCATTAATTTGTTTTTATTAAGAGTATGTTGATAACACCACTGGGAAAATCTTACAGTACTTATTATACAAAATCTTTAATCATTCATAACAAAGATGCATGGCCCACTTCTCATTTGGTTTACATTTTTTCAGCGACCCTTATCAAATTCTTAGACGAGCACAGCACTTCTATACTTGTTTAATCCAGACTACCTAGAGTCAGAAGAGAGAACTGCTGTATAAATGAAAAAAACATGGGTTCAAAGAAATTCAAGGAACCACAAAGTTTTCAAGTATATTCAGTATAGATTTGCATTCATTACACAGCACAGAGTCTACTATTGCAAAGAACCCTAAGGATTACCTAAGCAAAGTAGCTAAAATGTAAAATTATTTAATTCTACCTTTTCATGTTCCTGCACCTAACTTTATTATAGTGGGTTGTGTTTTATAGTTTGGCTTCTGCATCAGGTGTCACTTTCAGTTTTGGGAAAGTAACATTGTCCAACTAATAATATAGGAAGGCTGCTATTAATAGTTCATTTTCATTTAACTATTAAACTTAGACTCAAATAATCAGCACACAGTTATATCTAGTCAAAAATGTCAGTGGTAAGAAACAACTGTGGCCACTTCAGTTACTTCACCAGCTGTGGCCCCTCTACCCTGCCTTTAGTTGAAGGAGTCCTAGACATGAGATGTCTGCATATACACAGTATATTGATTACTTTGTTGGAATTTACAGACTTTTTTGCCCAGCAGTGGGTCATTTTATGGTGTGATCTAATTAAATTAGAGACATCTCTAAATGTTCTGAAGTGTAGATATTCTACAAAAATTTAGTCTAGTGGATTAACATCTAGTTTCTAGGTTTCCTCTTTAAACATCAAAATATAATGAAAGGCAGAATAGTGAAATTATTATGCATAAATGCTACTTTGGTTCAGTCCCTTGGACAGCTACTTTTACTTTTTGCTTTGCAAACCTGGACATGTTACTTCATTTCTTTGTACTATAAGAATTATTTGTCCATAACATGGATATCAGAGATAAGTAGCTAATATTTACAAAATACTGTGTGCCATATCAGTAATTTTACTGAGTCTTTTGATTTTACCTTAAAAAGCCAGTTGTTTTTAACATGAAAATATAAAACACAAGAAACCTGTAAGAAACAAAAAGCATGACTGCCCAGCATCTTTTATGTTGCTTTGAGGGAGTCTAAGTAATGTGTCTTAATGGATCTATTACTATTGTGGTGCATGAGTGAATTAGTCTGCTCTACAGTCAATAATATTTGAGACTGTATCGCCTTTCTCAAGAATGCGTTGCACTAGCTTGTCTGCCTTTGACGGTTCCTGTACTGGATGCTCCTGAAGTTATCTATTTGGGGCCTTCCCAGAAGATTCATTAAACTGTATCGAATGTGTCTGTTAGCCTCACAGGTGATGCACAGCATACCAAACACAAAACACCTGTGCTTTCAAGTGAGCATCAGTTCCCCCTTTTTTTTGATCCAATTGAACATTTGGTTTATTATTTATAACACTCTGAATGTGTTGGGACCTAATTATTTCTGAAGGTACTTCGTCCCCCCACTCCATGCCATATCAGTTGCAGCTGACTGGAATCCTATCTATTCTTAGATACAAATTTGAAGCATCAAATTCTCAGTGGAGAGCCCTTGCCTCCTGAACATGTTCCCCTTAGTAATCTATCAAAGTGTAACTGCGAGAGGGTTTAGGTCATGATTTATGATGCCCTCAAGATTTGATTAATTTGACCATTGTTTTCTAGGACAGGAAACAATAGTGTGTTTAATATTACTAAATTATAGGAAGCAATGTTACCATTGAATATACTAATCATTTATTATGAAGCATGTGATAAAATAGCATTACATAAAACAGCATGATAAATTGCTGTTTATAGGTTCATGAAGATTATGTCTACTCGGTAATGTTTTAAACCAGTTCAAGATTTTCTCAGAAGTTTTCTCTTGTTAGCGTTGTGGTGGTGGTTGTTTTGTTTTTAAATGCTCAAAGGATAACCCAGTTTCAGAAATGCTCTGAGCTTTTGCAAAATACACAGCCGAACTGCAGACCAGTTGATTCAAAATTTCACAGAGATAAGTCCTGGCAGCTAAATTTTTAAAAACAAACATCATAAGGAATTGCAATGGTCATGCATGTTTTAGACTTTCAGGTACTGACATGGTTATTTATTTATTTAAATTATTTCAGGTAGCTCTTGCGTAAGACAATTGTAACCGGTATACCAGACTGAACTGATTCTTTCCACATGAGTGTATTAGCACATTTTCCAGAGGACCTTCATGGCACACTGTAGCCTTATGCTGGAACCTGACAGTACTGAAAAAAAAATGGAAACTTTACTTTGAGTTTCACCCTTAAACTTGAGAAGGTTATAAGAGGAACAGATATCTCAAGGATCCTTTTGACACCTAGAAAACCGGACCCTTGAGAATTCTGCTGGTTTGTATGCAATATGGAAATTACAAACATCTCATTTTCATCTCTTCCCAGGTTTCACTGGGATGAGTAGATTTAGCTGCCACACCTACACCTTGGAAAACTAATGACCCATTTCCTGCCAGTAAAACTGCCCATCTGCTGAGAAAGAGTAATTGGTACAGCTTTGCCTTCTCATTTGGCTTCGTGTTTTTTCCCTGCCTTTCTGAGCAGTTGTTTTTAGAAATCCTGTTCCTAGATTCTTTTTTCCTCTCTCCCTGCCAAGAAAACGCAATCCCTCCTCTTTAGCTCCAATGGCATTGTCTCAAGACTTAAATCCTCCTTACACTGTTGTCCACAAGTTACATCCAGGCCTAATGGTCACCTCACGTTCTGAAAGCTCATAAAGGATAAATCGGTGTACCTCAAATATACATGCTCTGAAATTTGACCTCTGTCTTCCTGCTTAACAGTTTATACTTGTTTAACAGCTTTGACTTCTTGAATACCAAGGCAATTAATGATGTGCTTTCTTGTTTTTTATAGTATACATCCATTACAGAAATATCAGAAATTTTGGAACCATTTGGATGGAGAAAGGATTCTACTCTGAAGGAGGATCATACTACAGCTGGTAAGAAATCCTCTGAAACGAAGCAAATTGGGGTCCTCCAACATTCAATTGTTGCAAAATATAGACATGCTATTTAGCCTCTCTAGTGTTGCTTTTACTATATTAACTCATTTAATACTGTTTAGAAACTCAGTGTACATCAGTGTACTAGAATCTTAGTACTATTCTAGAATGGACAAAATTCGCTTCAGTCCTTCTTGGAGAATACAGTTATATGCTTTATTATAATGACAAATAAGGTTATACTTTTAAAATACTTGACACAAAGTGTATTGCAAATATCACTTCTGTTTCCTCTAGAGCCTGTTTACTGGTACTTAGCTAACATCCCATATTTTAGTGAAATGCTTTTCATTTCCTTATTAAAGATTCCATTAATGGCTTCTTGGACCTTGACCATGAATTGTGGTGCAAAGAGATACAGTTAACTCTGGTTCATGGATTTTGCTTTTCTTCCTTAGCTCTTTCAATTTTATTTCTCCTGCAAACCCAATTTAAAAAAAATCGTCTTGAATCAAGCAAAATAGGCAGATTCAAGAAATATTCTTTTTAAATTCATAAGAATCAAGTAAGTATGAATGAGCTTGGAAGGGGTTAGGCCATAGTGAGCCTTGAACACCAACAAGGAAATCTGTATTTCAGACATTCCAGTGACACATCACAAGGGAGTTTTATGTGATGTGGTGACATGCTAACGAAAGATGCTTTGCTTCTTTGAGTACATGGAAAATCATTCAGAAAGAAGCCAGAATGTCACCCTAAGGCCATTCGGAGGTTCTAACACTCATTGTCAAGGGATGACCTATGGCAAACTCGCTAATTGTTGTAGTGGTGTTTTATGTAAAGGAACTAAACCTGTGACAAATTACTTAACAGGAAAGTGGTTGAGCTGGCATAAAATCGCAGATTCCTGATATTTATATCAGTGACTTTAATGAAGTATGGATTACCTCACAATCTTTAAACATTGCTCATTCCGTACGTTCTAATAGTTCATGTCTGTCTTTCCACACCACCAAATCTTGCTTTACCAGAGTATTTGCAGAAAATTTCAAGCACAATTGAGGAGGGAAAACTTTCAGAAAATAAAAAATTTAAACTTCAGCAACTCAGCTAATTGTTAGGCAAAATATTTTCAAAATGGTTCCGGAAATACCAACAATTTAATTCAACCATCTATAGATTAGAGAATGTCCTAAATCATGTAGATATTGAGAGATAGATAGTGACCATTTGCTGGGGCTTTTCAGTTCAGAACTTAATAAACCAAACCTTAATTTCATTGGCATTATAAGTCAGGGCCATCCATTGGGAGATAAACAGCATGAATATTGTTTTTAAAAACCATATACATCCAGTTATATATTGAGTGCCTCTTAGACTTTAGAAATTTAAAAATAGTTAACCTGGCAGAAGAGATACCATGATCATAAAGGTGGTTTGCCCAGGGCAAGGCTTATCTATTGCACTCAGGAAGTGCTGACACTTGGGACTTCTGCAAATGCAGAAACCCAACTGCATAATTTGCGGTGGTGGGGGAGTGGGTTTGCGCTCTCCCCCCCCCAAAACAAAAGAAAGAAATTTAAAATACAGTTATTTCTCCAGAAACTACTATAAAAATTCTTATAAATTAAAAACATCTTATAAATTAAAAACAATCAGCCACATCGTTACTAAATACTTTGCTGGGGGTTCACAAAACTTGAAAAGAGCTTGTCTAGGACTTGACTCAGAAGCCTGTGTTAGATCAATCCTTCCGTAAATAAAATACTGCAACGTAATACTAAAAGGCAGAGTTCTTCCTGTTTCAATTTAAAGCTTAAAATTACTATTTGAGGATTTGGTTTTATTTACGTGCATATATATATATATATATATATATATATATATATATATATATATATATATCTGTGGGTATGTGCTGCAGGTGTCCAGGTGCCCACACAAGCCGGAAGAGAAGACAGTGACTCCTTTAGAACTGGAGTCGTGGGTGATTAAGAGTTACCTCTCAGGGCTATTGAAACCAAACGTAAGAGGACAACAAGCACTCTTAACTGCCCATCTCCCTCCACCTAAAAGAGCTAACTTTTACAAATTTATTATCCCATGAACATGTATGTAAGATGTGCACATGGCCTCAGCACATGTGTGGATGTCAGAGGACAGCTATTTTTTCTTTCCTGTTTCTATAGGTCCCAAGAATTGAACTCTTGAGTGCCAGACTTGTGAGGCAAGTGCTTTGATCCGCTTTAAAAATTATTTCTGCCAAATTTAGAAATTTGTAGCTCTTTTTATTTTAGTTTCATGGCAGACACAATCATCTAATATTCATGTATCTCTATATTTCTAAGGTTCAGGAATGAGTATAAGCTGAGGACATTGGACACTCCTTTTAACTTCAGTTAAACTACAGTTGAGACTCCTGTGACACTGCCCAGTTTTATGTATTAAATAATCCCTTCTCTAAAATATGTCTGTTTGTGTTCACATTGTCTACAGTTTCTTATTGATTTCCTTTATCATATTGTTGACCCAATTTATGGTCAATTTTGTGAGATAGTCAGTGGAACAACTGTCTGGTTTAGCATAACAGAATAAAGGCAGCCTTTTAATAAAACTATCCTAGTGAGAAAAATTACTATAATACATTATATTTCAAAACCACATAGAGATCTTTAATCCTTAAAGGCATACTATTTAAGTATTAGGTATAATTTTACTTATATGTTCATTTGTATAATTAATTAATCAACATAAAACCCTGAAAATGAAACTCTGGGGGAAATTAAACTCAATTGTTTTCTTTATTACTAGATCTTTATGGTTATCCTAAAATGTATATGATACATATTTGAGATATTGCTTTGCAATTTTTTTAAACTTATTCTATTTTTATTAATCCATATATTTCAAATCATCAGCTTTGAATGTATCAAAGAAGAGTAAGAAGATTGTTTATGTTTTTTAACTTATCTATAGTTAACTTGAAAAAATTCATTTTAATAGAGGAACTAACTTCCAACATTTAATGAGTGTTTCCACTAGACCACAGATTTACATATACTAACTTACTGACACTCTGTAATCATGACTAACTCATCACATAATGAGAAAAAGCACTGAGGTAAATTTCCTAAGATTAGTTTGTTGGTTTTTGCTAAATTAAGACCTCTTACTAGTCTCTTACCTGAGCCATGTATTTGAATTGTACTGCACTGAAACCCAAAAGTTTTGGCCAAGTATCTTCTGGAAACTAAGCAAAAACAATACTCATGTATGACTTTGTCAAAAAGAGAAGTAACATTATTTGATGATTTGTAGGGCCATCTTTTATTCAGCTTGAGCCTTTTAAATCACAAGGGTACCACGCTCATCAAAGATCAGATATTTCATGATGTAATCACCTCCCAAAAGCCACTGGCACTGAGCATTCAATTTCAACACGAATTTTAAAAGACAAGACACCTTCATTCAAACATCAGAATATATCAATCTTTTTCTTTTTCCTTCCTTCCTTGCTTTTATTATTAATATGCATTTATGTTTGACTGTGTGAGTTTATGTGCCCTAAGGGCATGTGACACAAACACAATCCTAATTAGTCTTATTAAATAAAACCCATAGTCAGATATTAGGGTAAATGCTGAAAGATCAGAGAAGTAAAGGTGGTAGCCACTAGAGAGACCTTTGACCTCTACTGAATCCTAAAACCAAAGTGGACAAGATCCTGTCTCCACAAATCCTCAGACTAAATGTGATAAGCTCATGTTTCTTCCTACTTTATATTCCTCTCTCTGCCCAGCCATATACCTTTCTGTCTCCGCTCTCTCAAGTACTGTGATTAAAGGTGTGAGCCACTTCTGTCTGGCTTTGTTTCTCTTTTAAGTCTGGATCTACCTAGTGTAGCCCATGGTGGCCTTGAACTCACAGAAATCCATCTGCCACTCCCTCTTGTGTGCTGGAGCTCTGGGATTAAAGGTGTGTGCTACCAGTGCCTGGCCTCTATGACAACGAAGTGGCTTATTTCTGCACTCTGATCTTCAGGCCAGCTTTATTTACTAGATCACAAACAAAATATCATCACAAGAACACACAGTACAATTACTTAGGATTCAGAAGTTACTAAACTCAAGTGAAATCAAAAGACTATTTGTCTTAAAGGTAACTCCTATCCATACAAATGATTTAGAAGAATCTTGATACCAACTTCCCTTCTTTTTTTTAAATATTTATTTATTTATTTATTATGTATACAATAATCTGTCTGTGTGTATGCCTGCAGACCAGAAGAGGGCTCCAGACCTCATTACAGATAGTTGTGAGCCACCATGTGGTTGCTGGGAATTGAACTCAGGACCTTTGGAAGAGCAGGCAATGCTCTTAACCGCTGAGCCATCTCTCCAGCCCCCCAACTTCCATTCTTAAGTCAATGATAAGATATTTCCTGTAAAGAGAAATACTGCAATTAGCAGCTTGTTTTTTTTTAAATACCACAACTAAATGGTATTTTATTTAAACATCCAGCCAACTAAAAATACAAATTTAAGTATAATATTATAACAAGAAAACTTAAACAATGCATGGTATCAGCATTGACATAACTCCTACATGGTAGTAAAGACCCTCTGGCCACAGAGAACATTTATAACTGTTCAACAACAGACCGTCTAAAACATTCTAGTCACTTGAGAATCATGAAATAGTACAGCATGCACACACTGAATCTATTTATCTACAAGCTGCTAACAGGACGGTCTAGCAAGTCATTTTTAAAACTGGAGTCCATGGGTGCTGGCTGTGATTTTTATGAGCAACATACAAATGCCTTATAGAATCATTTTCTTCTCTTTATTCTTTTCTCTTCCATTCTTTTCTTTATGCCTTCTTCCATTTGCCTGTATTGTTAATCTGTATGATAAACACAAAATGAAGTTTTGATAAAGACATTCAGATTACCATGTGGCATTAAGTATTCCAGGTTAGACACTTTTTATAAATCCATAGCTGTAAATACATATATATATTTGCTTAAGGCATGCAGATGACATATTAATTTTAATTGGCTTATAGTTAGAACACAATTTATTCTTAAGTAATTATATATAAAAGGAGTGAATTAGATTATAAAAAAAACAGAAAAAATATCTAATGTTCTGTTAATAACACTCTTCAGTAATACCTTTCTGGCCATGACACTCTAAATTTGAACTTGCAATTAAGCAGTTTAATACATTATATTAAAATTTATACTATTTTTGAGCCCACTTAACCATTCTAATTTTCCTATAATTATCTTTTTCTTTCAATATCCATTATCTTTGTATGCTTAAGGTTTATAATTTAAAAATCAATCTATGGTCATAAAAATAGAAATGATTTTTAGTAACCATTCCCATTGTTCCAAGAATATTTTTGGATTTAAAATACTTCACAAATTCAGGTCTTTTCCCAGTATTCAATGTCTTGAATTTCCTACTATTACATGAGAAGAATTTTGTGTTGCTTTTCTAATTAAGGTGCAGAAAGCTAATAGCTTTGGACATCTCTGCAAAATGAGTAAATGTGTACTCCAGCCTTGACATTTCCTCCAGCATTGATCTGAAAACACTAAATGTATTTTATTTTGTGGCTCTAGAGCACAAAATCCACCTAGTAATTGTTTTCCATTGATATTTCCTCCATGAGTTTGCATTTGTTGTATAAGAATTGGCATTTATAATTTACAGCCAGTCAAATTATAGAATTTGTGGGTTGAAGCTCTTTATTTTTATTAGCCTAACCTTTCAAAGTGAGGGGATGGTTTTTTACAACCTATTCATTTATCTCTCATTTCAAAATTGATTAAACAACATCTTTGCCTATAGAAGAGAAGAGGAGTCTTTCCCTCAACAGTTTTTTCTAAAAATGTCATTTGTTAGAAAACTTATTTTGACACTTTTAGACCAATGCACTGGTAAGAAATTGACTTTTCATTAAATATTTTAACAGGATAGATTAAATGCAGCAGCACAAGTCTGGAAAGCTGGAGGGCTTCCTTGTGACCTCAGGAACTTTCACCTTTGCATAGGTGTTAGAAAGTGACTAATGCCCTTAATATTGATTATATGTCGTGAGCAAAAAAGTCATGGCAATCATGTTCACACATGGCTATGAGATGAATCTCAGGCAAAGGTCAAATTGTAGATAAACGAAATATAAGCTCAGCAGTCACGCTCTATACCTGTCAGAAGTGCATGGTGCAGGTCAACGCTAAGGGATGTTGAAATCAGAAAATTCACACTTCACGTATTTCTCAACATTTTCTGTGAAATATAAGTAACCTGGTTCAAATAAACATGTATGCTAGTCACATTTTAATAAAATACAAGTTAAAGAAAGCCAAGCCAAAATGGCTTTGTAAGTTGGCAAAGAAAAACTCCATAAATGACTCGTGATTGAGATTTTTAGTGTATGTTGACTGAGACATGTTCCTTCTCCTTTTCCTTGTAGAGATGAAATAGGCAAGTTGTCAGATGCGATGGTTGAACATGAGATAAATAGAATGGAATATTCTAAAGTGAG